GAGCGGCGTGAGGCTGCAGGTGCCCTCGCGTGAAGGGATGCCACACACGGAGGGTGCCCGAGGAAGGACTCTTGTCGCCAGGCCGGCCAACGCGGGGTTGAAATCGTGGCGCTCGCCGGCTGGGTGGCTCCGCCCGTCGCCCCGCGCCCTGGGGAGGCCGCGGGTTCGAGCCCCGCCTGGGCCACTTGGCCAGCCCGCCTCTCTACAACAAACCCAGAATCAGCCGGGCGTGGTGGACGCGTCTGGAGTTCTGGCTACTCGGAAGGCGGAGGCGGAAGGATCGCCGGAGCCCAGCGGGCTGGGGCTGCGGGGCCCGGCAGCGGCCACGGCAGGCCCGTCTGGGCCACAGAGAGACGCCAACTCAAAAAAGGAAAGAAAGAAAGAAAGATAAATGAATAAGATCGCAGCACTCAATATATGCCGATAGCAAAACACGAACGCAAGTCACGCTGGCCTCCTGCAGTTCTCAGAGGTGCTCACAGCGGTTGCTGTCAGCATCCAGACACCTCTGACTACAACGAACTAAAAGTGATACGTAGATAACATCTCTTTTTTTTTTTGAGTCGGAGTCCCACCCGGTCGCCCAGACGGGAGGGCAGCGGCCGCTCCCGGCCCCCGCAGCCTCCACCTGCCGGGCTCCGGCGATCCTTCCGCCTCGGCCTTCCGAGGAGCTGGAACGACAGGAACGCGCTTACCACACCCGGCTCATTTTGATTTATTGTAGAGATGAGGTCTTGTCAAGTTGCCCAGGCGGGTCTCGAACCCGCAGGCTCAGGCCATCCACTCACCTCGGCCTCCCAAAGGCGCGGGATGACAGGCTGAGCCACCGAGAACGTCTCTTAAAATGTGTAAACATTTTGTAGGCACCTCCGGTATATAAAGGAGGGCAGGAGTTGCATTGTTGTCTTTTTGCCTAACCTGAAAGCGTGGTTAGAAATTTCCATGAGCTCAAGTTGAGGGATGTGGGAAAGAGCACTAGAATAGGAGTCAAACGGCCCAGGTGCAGTCTCCGTGTCATCAAAAACTAGTTCTGAGCCCTTGGGTGAAAAGCTGAAAGCTTCTGAGCCTCAGTTTCCTTAGCCGGAGCTGAAAGCCTGCCCATTTCTCTTCTGAGGGCTGTCTTGTGATCTGATGAGACGATAGGAGGAATTTTTAATATACTCGAGAACAGTTCCATTTGCCCAAAATTAACTAGAATCCGTTTTCTTCTGAACTTGGGAGTGATGTGGACTTTGGATTCTGTTTTTGTTCAAAATAATCAGATTGTTGGCCAGGGGTGCCAAAAAAGAGAGAAGATGGCATTTGGAGGTTGATTCTTTCTCATCAAGCACATAGTAGGCCTTTCATGAGTGTGTTAGATTTTCCTTCATAATAAACGATGGATGGAGTGGGGGGGTGTCAGGTAAGGAAGGGGTCTACACTTGTGGCCAGCTGGGTTGGTCCTTGATGCTGGGTGGGGTATGGCATGGCCCAAAACTCGTGGACTCTTTGACTCCACCCTAAAACGAATTTTAGAGAGACCAGCAAAGTTTTAAAACAAAGTTTATTAGAGAAAGAAGAGGGGAAAGACAGACATGGCGGAGCTGCACTTTTTTATGATAGACCTGATACACCTTCACAATGATTGCTATGATAAGGAGGGTAGAGTCCAGGTAACCTTCATCCCGGCGAGAGTGACATCTCTTCCCCTCTGAGGGGAGGAATGGGCTTTTCCAGGGAAACTTGCCAGACTCTAATTTCACAAATTCATGAGCTAAAAGGGGTCTTATGATCCTTTCTGTGGCTTTTTGATTCCTGGTCCAGAAACCGCCTCGATGGAGTTTTCCTTTGGTGAGCTGAGGGGGTGGGGCGGGCTGGGAGTCCATATCGAGTTCCCCTTCCAGGCTGCAGTGCTGGTCAGCCTGCTGACAGTATGTCTGGACACGTTCTAACGCCTGCCTACAAGAAATGTCTCCATGCCTAACCTGTGCTAGCTACCCTGCCTCAGTCCTCAGGTGCCTCCGTGTTGGTTGCTGTGTGGACATATGTGTGTCCAGTCGTCGGGGAGAAAGTACAGGCCAGCGCCTGCGTCTCCAGGTCCAGGTCTTCACGCGTCTGTCTGTGTGGGGGCCAGACAAGGACACACGGGAGTGTTTGGAGTGTCCCCGCTCCACCACTGACCGTCCTTTTGAACTTCCTGGCTCTCAATTCCCACATCTAAGAAGGAGAATAAGACAGTGTCGGGGATTTGATTTCAAACAGTCCAGCGACATACAGCCCGAAATAACATAATTCCATTGAACGTCGTTTTGTGACAGCGTTGAGGAAAAAAGCCTTCCTGGCCATTCCAGGGCCGCTGTCTGTGTGGAGTTGGCACGCTCTCTCCATGTCTGCATGACATGTTTGAAAGGTTTCATAATAATCCACTGCTTACAAGAAGGAGTGTGGGCGGGGGAGAACAGTACCTTCCTCACGCAGTTACTGCGAAAACCAAAGAAGACATGACACTAACAGCCATGACCACAGCATCACGTCCACCGGGCACTTGTGGGCGAGCAGCAGCCAGTGCGTTGCCCGGTGCGCTCCTTCCGTCTCTTCCGTGAGTCTGTAGGCCAATGGCAGCAAGTGCCTACAAGTAAGGGAATCCCTCGCCGCCCTGCAAACTCCTCCCCTCCCTCCCCGCCCTCCGCCGCCCCTCCCTCCGAGGAAGAGCCGGGCTGGGCCCCAGCAGGTGTGGGGTTAAGGGAGTCTGTCCGGGCCCCAGGAGCAGCAGCATAAGCTGCGGCAGCTGTGGCAGGGGTGGG